TTAATATCTTATTTTGTTCATATCTATCTATCTATCTATCTATCTATCTATCTATCTATCTATCTATGGCAGTCTGTTCCTATTTATCTATTTCAGATTGTTCTACCTCCCTGTCGATGTAACATTTTTTTTTTCTAAATAGATCTCTTTATTTGTGTTTTGCTATTCGTTTTTATCTCTTTTCATTTACTCCCCTTCCTACTCCTACACATACAACACACATACACATATATGCATTGCTTGATGAGGCCAGCTTATTTAAGAGTTTATTTTGAAAAAGAAAAATATTAATTTTTTAATTTATTTATTTTTTTTTTTTTTTACAAAATGATCCTTGAATCACCAGCTTCACAAAAATAAGGAAATCGGGGAATAGAATTAAATCCAATGGATCAAAAGTAGTTCGAAAGAAATCTGGAATAAAAGCCGGTAGAGCAAGAGGGATCTTTACAAAAAAACAGAGAGAGAGATTTTAATTCATTTATCATTTCTGGTAAAGTGAGTGTGTTTGGAATAGGGAAGAATACGATAAACACAGGAAAAACGAAGAATTAGATTTAAAAAAATCAAATGGAATCAGGTAACCTTGCTGGATATTTCATTGTCAGATAATATACCGAAAAGCACCAGAAAAAAAAAATGAAAAAGAGAAACAGCGCACTGAAGAGTAAAAATATAACCCGAAAGGGCATATATATATATATATATAAATATATATATTTCGATTGAGCTCTCTTGGGGAGGAAGTGTGGGTTTGTAAACACTGACTATGACGGCTATTATAGCAAGACTCTTCGGTAAAGCGAAACCAGTCCTCTTAGTCACTCTGTGTTTATCTAAAAATAAATACGTTAAAATTCACTTTCGTTCCTGCGCCGACGGCTTAGTGGTAGAATCTCCGACTAACGCGAATTCAGCCGGGTTTTCGATCTTAACTAGAAGCAATCGGACCTCTAGCCACACTGAAGACCTGTGATACAGAGAAATAGTCTGTCTGTGGATAATATATATATATATATATATATATATATGAAGAAATATAGTCTTAACATGTGCTATATTTATGGGATAAAGTGCTCAATGTCAGAGATAGAGCGTGTGTAAATATAAAAGTGAACATAGAAGTCAACACTTAGAGGCGACAGTCTGTTTCATGCTAGATGCAATCGTCAGTCCATATATATATATATATATATATATATATATATATATATAATGGTCAGAGTTGAATCAGACCAGGGAAAAGTGGTATCAAAAAGTATTCAATACACGTGAGGAAAAATAAGTAAAAATAAAAAATAACATATAGTGATTATAAGTCTAAAATCAGGTCAATTAAAATACGCGACCACGGTTTCGACTTAGCGGTCTTGTCGGGCGTTAATTTTCATATATATATATATATATATATATATATATATATATATATATATATATATATATATATGTTTCAAAGTGCGATGGGTAAAATATATATATATAAAAAAATGCGCGATGAGTAAATTGTCGCGTAAATTACATAAAAATGAAATAACACTGACATATCATTCTAACAGATATATTTACCAAAATTATACAAAAATATCTTGAGATACGAAAGAAAAAATTTATTAAATAAAATCGCCATTGGCTTCTACGACGTCCCTCAGACGAATCATCTACATCTCTTCTATTGGACCTCTTGTTTAAGTTGGGGAATGCTGCCATAAACATTACCTTCACTTCATCAAGGACTTTTCTTGCTTCCTCGTTCAACTGCCTCGCACGCTTAGTAAACAGAGGGCGGTTGCATTTTTTGGGAGTTAGGTGTCCAGAACCTATGTGGTGATGTGGTTTCAGAAATAGTCTGTTTTCCCCTCCGTGTGTGGCATGGTGGAGAGTTCTGTTGAGGGGATAGTAGCAGGATTTGTTTTGCTTATATTCAGATCCACCAATCGGAATGGCCTACGCTTAGTTCAATGTAAAGGGAAAAAACGAAAAAGGAAATCATACGTAAGAGGTCATGACCCACAGATTTAGAATCGTAGACGACATCTAAATATAATATTCGGTACGGATGTTAATTGTTTACAAATGTTATACATTAGACAAATGTCATTTCCTGAAAGAGACGTAATTTAACAAGATACTTGACAAATTACATAACCTGTGAGATAAAATAATAAAATTTAACGTTTTTAACGTTGGTAAATAAACCAGTCCTTTAAGAAATAAAAGAAAGTTTAAACAAATAAATCTAACAAAATTATTAAAGCATATAGATCTAATAAAATTATTTAAATATGTAGATCAAACGAAATTATTTAAATATATAGATCAAATGAAATTATTTAAATATGTAGATCAAATGAAATTATTTAAATATGTAGATCAAATGAAATTATTTAGATATATAGATCAAACGAAATTATTTAAATATGTAGATCAAACGAAATTATTTAAATATATAGATCAAATGAAATTATTTAAATATGTAGATCAAATGAAATTATTTAAATATGTAGATCAAATGAAATTATTTAAATATATAGATCAAATGAAATTATTTAAATATATAGATCAAACGAAATTATTTAAATATGTAGATCAAAATGAAAGATATTTAGATATATAGAAATGAAATTATTTAAATATATAGATCAAACGAAATTATTTAAATATATAGATCAAACGAAATTATTTAAATATATAGATCAAATGAAATTATTTAAAATGTAGATCAAATGAAATTATTTAAATATATAGATCAAATGAAATTATTTAAATATGTAGATCAAACGAAATTATTTAAATATATAGATCAAATGAAATTATTTAAATATATAGATCAAATGAGATTATTTAAATATGTAGATCATACACAATAAACTAGAATGCAACTATTAACTAAAGGGTTTTTATATAGGGTATTAATAAAAACAATCAATGCAAAATGTCAAAGTGTCAATCGAACGTCAATACATCTATACTAAATATTATCAACACTACCAGAAGATTAATGTAAAACTTATACTACGTCGAAATTGATCTTACTGACAGAAAGATAAGCTTTATATCGTGTAACAAGGTTACACCATATCTGCCCTTTTGCGTACTTGTGTAGGGTCGGCAGTGAACTTTTTCACTGTTTGATGACACCTCCCTAGCATTTTAGAAATTTCTAGGGTAGATTTACCTTTTCAGTGTTCTGAGGTGATAGTTTTCTTTTCAGCATCACTTAAACTGCTTTTACGGCCCATCTTTTCACAAAATTCTTACACTTACACAATAATTTGGCACGCTCAAATCACCGTGCTGATAACAAATATGGCGCCAGTTTATTTACATTGCGCATATCATTACGAAAATTTTAGCGATTGCGCAGATTAGTGTTGCCAACATTATGTGAAAATTTTGTGTGAATTGATTGGACAGTTTTTGAAATATTAGAAAAAAAGTTACCTCGATAATAATTTGGCACGTAGTGTAGATATAGATAAAGATAACTTTTCAGGGTTAACTAATTTATTCAGGGTGTGAAACGTAAAATTTCAATTTTCTCAAATATTGACTCGTCAGTTTGCACAATCCAACAAGCCGCGGTCAAATCTGAATGGCAAATGTTACGTATACAATCTGAGCAAGCGTTGTCCCGTTATGAACAAGAAAAGGAAAGAAAAAGTAGTAAGAATGAAAATTAGAAAGGAAAAATAATTTATTCTATTTATTTATTGCTTCAAGTTTGAACTATTCTATTCAAGAGATCTGTAGAAGTTACATTGATTTTTTTTTCTCTCAGTCGGGTAAACTCAGTTACATGAAGATTTTTTTATTTATTGCTCAGGTTATTTTATTCTTCTTTGATGATTCGATATTTACATCTGTCTGCAACTCAGGGGCCTATCTATGAATAATCGGCGATATTTTCTTATTTCGTGTTTTCTCGTGATTAGTAAGTGCAGCACATTTTTATAAACACATCCTGCTTCAACTTAGCGGAGTTGGGCCCAGGCGACGGGTTAAACGCGTACATCAACAAGCCAACAGATTGTGAGGTAAAAATAATTTCAAACAAAAATAAAATGTTTTGTTCTATTATCTAAGTTTCATAGAATCAAAAATTGTGTTTCCATTACGATATCATAAGAGCCCAAAGAGACTGAAAATTCGCACAACTCTCTTCGTTATTAAATACTTATATTGCTACAGAAAAACGTTACTCACACACAAAGCCCCAAGAGCCACTCGAGGTAGAGGCTTACTGGAGTTTATTGCGTGAACGGTAAGAGAAGTAGAAGTAGGAGGTGGAGTTTATGAGGACTTATGGGAAATATATATATTTTCTGATGAAAAATTGAGGACAATTTGAAATATCATATATATAAATAAATAAATACTTTCATAAAATAAAACATTATAATTTTTAATTTGAAACTTTTTCTATATATACATATTAAGAAAGTATACGTGGCTTCTCATTATGCTATATATATATATATATATATATATATATATATATATATATATATATATATATATGTAAGCAAATGGATATAGATCCGACAGTATGAAGAAAAATATACGGAAAAAACAAACTAAAATCCTTATATGCAATTATCTTTCAGTTATCTGTTTGGATAAGTCTTATTCTTATGTCCATCGTCTTTGTCATGTTGAATTGATAATGTTAATTATATTTTATGAATATGTCCTGAAGATGGTTTATTAGACCGAAACGTCCGACGTTGACATTATATTAACATTTAAAACAGCATAATTGCATATAAAGGATTTTTTTTTTTTTTTTGTATTTTTTTTTCTTTCTTATATATATATATATATATATATATATATATATATATATATATATATATCAATTTATATATATATATATATATATATATATATATATATATATATATATATATATATATATATATATATATATATATATATATATATATATATATATGGACACACACACACACACATTACATACTATGAATCATTCATACAAAAACATATGTTTTTTTGTATGAATGATTCATGTAATGTATATATATATTCACAGTACTTTGTGGAAAGTGCTCAATATCAGTGATAGAGACAATATATTCATTTGTATGGTTTGTCTGATGATCGCATAATCTTGAAATCCA